ATATATATGTATGTATATATAAGTTTATGAATGTATATATGTTTATAGACACAGATGGGTCCGAACTTTTATTACATTTTTTTATTGCATTCCCCGAATCCTAGTATGTACATATAAACGCATTATAAACAATATAATTTGAACTGAACAACCCTGCCCACAACGCACACACATCCCCACACATACAAGCATACATGGGCTCCATACCCACCAACCACCCCACAACCACACCCCCTTCTCTTACCGACATTACACCCCCCATCCGTATCCAACATCGCCAGCTCCACCCCCGCATAGTACGCCCGTCGCTTCTCCCGATCGCGTCCGCAAACGGCACTCAGAAACGCTGTCTGTAGCTGCATGACCCGTTCGAGGAAGGCCAGTGTCATGATTACAGCCTCTTCCCACGCGAGTGTGTGGCCGAGGGCCGTCTCTGTGAGCTGTGGGGTGCTGCAAACCTCCCACGCGGCTTTGTAAGTCACCAGTGACGACTCCATACGCGACAGCAGGCTGGCGATCTGTGCACGTGTAGCGCCGGTGGTTGAGTGAGTGGGTGTAGGGGGTTTATAGATGTATGCAAGGTTTAGGGTTGGGGTTTTTAGGGTTTTCTAGGGGGGTGGGGGGGGTTGCTTGGTGCATGATGTTTGAGTTTTAGGTTTAAAGGTATTTATGGGTTTTTTAGTTTGCTTGGTTAGCACGCGTAAACCCGTTCGTGTATCAGCACTTTGCCGCGCAACAGCCCGGGTGGGGCGTATGCCTGTAATCAACAAGTGTACCGAAGATCATAGCAGACGCACAGGTTTATATGCAACCGTCAAAGGTTAAAGGTTTGCATAACCTCCTTGGTTACTAACAACCGAGACCACAAGCGGGCTACTATGCACACAGCATCACGTGATGTGGGCTTCGACATGAAGACAGGGTGCGGATATACACCCACAGCTCAATGTAGTTGATAGTAGATTTACCTACTGTGGTCCACACATTGGTTAGTCTACATCAGGACCCAAGTGACAAAGCATAGGCATACACTTGTAATACATCCGCACCCAAGAAACGAAGCACAGATATACACTTATAACCCTCTTTTGCAAAGGTACCTTAGTAAAGGTACATACAGCTTCCCCAAGATATTTGGGTCTTCACTTCGCCACACAAGCCAGTGCACAGACACACAATATCAATTTTCCTCAGTAGACACACCTACAATTTCACTTAGAAGACATACTTACAATTCACTTAGTAGACACCTACAATTTCACTTAGTGAACACCTAAAATTCCATATAGTAGACACACTTACAATTTCACTTAGTAGACAACTATAATTTCACTTAGAAGATACACCTACAATCTCAGAAGACATACCCACAATTTCACCTAGTAGACACACTTACCGCTTCCCACAGATGGTTGGGCCGTCGCTTAGACAGCATGCGCACCATCACAGCCACCCACGCCGACTGCATGGGCACCAGCGCCGCGTCAGCCCTCTCCGCGCCTACGTCAGGACCGGAGTCTATATTTAAATCATCCACCGGCATCTCCGAAGTTCGGGAAATTATTATCTCGGACAGCACGCGCAAGGGCGCGCATACGTGCTCGCACTCGCCCGCCAATGGGACCTGTGCAATTGCATGCGTAGAAATTCGATTTTTTTATATTTTACAATACAAGTATGAAGATATCTGCACTTATATATATGGGCAAAGCTGCCCAGTTATTCAAATTTAAATTAAAGTTACCCAGTTATAATAAACCTTTTAGACTAAGCTATCCCAGTTATAATAAATCTATTTTTAGATCAAGGCTACCCAGTTATAATGAATCTATTTTTAGATCAAGGCTACCCCCAGTTATAATAGATCTATTTTCAGGTTGAAATTACCCAGTTGTTAGTAAGATAATTTTAGATTATCCCTGCACAACGGTACTGGTTTCTGAAACGCTTGCCCCGATATGACAGTTACCAGTTATGCACAACTACACGAGTAGCATAACTGCAGTAGCGTAACTGCAGGTTTACACAAACGCATACACATCGCTGTTCTATAAATAGAATGAGTTCGATTGGCGTGTGCCTCAGAGCCAGGCAACTAGGCGAACATTCAAAGAGGTAGACTCGCAGCAAAGTACCGATACAGGCCTTACGGGATTTTGCTGACACTAAGTATGAGAAAATCAGGGGTTCAATAGCACGTGTTTAACTACCATCCAGCGCATAATCCACACTACACCCATGGGGATAGAATAAACCACACTACACCCAAATGGATAGAATAAACCACACTACACCCATATGGATATAATAAACCACACTACACCCATATGATCAGACCAAGCCACTTGGTGATTGGCACTGCATGCTACAACTGTACACGAATCGCCTCAAATAAGCCCGTCCATCAATACGAGTACAACGTTTCATGCGCGCGTACAAAGACAACAACCGCCTCTAGCCTCTAACCACTACCCTCCACCATGACTAACCTGTTGCGATGTCGTGCCGACTCCCAACGCAGTGGCCTCGGCATGCAACGCCCTGACGATCAAATCAACACTCAGCCGCACCCCAACACCCGCAACCCCACCACTCGTACCCCCGGTATCCATGGCAACACCCACGGGTGCGTTTGCGCGTGGGCCGGTGTGTGGGCCGTCAGCCTGTTCGTCTGAGACTGTGCTGTGGTGGCTGAGGTGACTTGTCAGTGCCTCTGTGGTGACCAGTACGCTCAGTAGTGACACCAGCGCGCGGCGTTCGTCGCGCGAGCGGTACGGCGAGTGCTGCAACTCCGCAAACCTGGCGCGGAATCTGGGTGGGGTGGTCAAGTGTGGGTGTGGGCAAGTGTGGGTGTGGGGGAGGCGTTAATATGACACGGAGGCGATGGTGACCCATGGCTGGAGGAGTGTACGTTGCCATGGATACGTGCGAGTGAGTGAGTGAGTCATACTGAATCGAATATCAGAGTGGTCAGCATAGGTCATTGTGCGCAGGGTACGATTAAGCGCGGAATGAAATGCAGCGATCTCGTGCGTTCTACGAGTAGGCCAGCTGTGGATACAGAGTACGAACAAAGCACTGAAAGACGTTCTGTTCGCTCCGTTCGGTTGAATCACATGCGCAGCAACTCTATATATATATACATATGTATACATAGATATATATAAATAAATATACATATATATACATATATATACATATATATATA